CCATGGGAATCTGCTAGGGCCCTGACTAGGGTTTTCACTTCCGTCGAAAACGCCACATTTAAGACAGACACTTCTGTCCTTAAGACTGGGGAGGATATGGTTGCAGCCTCCCCGGCAACCACGCCAGCCTTTGCCAGTGTGCCAGTTACAGAGGAAGTAATTGAGAAATCGGAAGAGAAGCTCCCGAATGCTACTTTGAAGGAGAACTGTGCAGATGGAGATTCAATCAATTGCTCAGATCCTAGGGTTTTGTTCGCCATTCAGAGGTTCAACGTGAGGAGATTCAAGTCGCTTGCGTTTTTCGATTACCAAACTCCTGTTAATGGGTCTCAGCCAGACGAATGTGATGTGGCCTGGAGGTTTAGGAACAAGAGAGAGAAGTCATGGAGGAAGTATAGGGATTTTCGGAGGTTTAAAATCGGATTTACTAGCGACTGTAGTCACAGAGTTGTTCGAGCAGGGAAATGGCATTCAGGGGTAAAGGCTCGTCCTCCGAGGATTCAAGGTAATAACGGGAATGCCACTAGACATGGCTCAAAACCAAAAATCTCTCCCCCTATCCAGGATGATGAGATCAATGATACAATCCCAGTCATGGGGTCAGATCTGGCTTTCAGGAACGGGAAATATTTGTACTATTCTCGTGGCGATGACTATTGTAAAGGGATGAATCAGTTTCTATGGAGCTTTCTGTGTGCTCTGGGTGAGGCCCAGTACTTGAATCGGACGTTCGTGATGGATCTGAGGATCTGTCTGGCGTCCACTTACACTCAGAGCAACAAGGACGAGGAAGGGAAAGACTTTAGGTTCTACTTTGATTTTGAGCACTTAAAAGAGGAGGCCAGGATCGTGGATGAAGTAGATTTCCTCAAAGATTGGAAGAGATGGGACAAGATGCACAATAAGAAGATCCCTGTGAGAAAGGTTGCTGGCTATAGTGTCACGCCCATGCAGCTTAGAAGGGATAATAAAACCACAATAATATGGAGAAAATTTGATGGCCCGGAGCCTGAAAACTATTGGTATCGTGTCTGTGAAGGTCCATCTGCAAAGTACATTCAGAGGCCCTGGCATGCTCTGTGGAAATCAAAGAGATTGATGAACATAGTCACTGCAATCAGTGCGAGTATGGATTGGGACTTTGACGCTGCACATGTGGTCAGGGGTTACAAAGCAGAGAATAAGGAGTTATGGCCCCATTTGGACGCTGATACATCTCCTGATACCCTGGTTGAGAAGATTCAAAAAATGGTCGTGCCGGGAAGAAATCTATATATTGCCACGAACGAGCCATTCTACAATTACTTTGATAAGTTGAGACCTCACTTCAAGCTTCACTTGCTTGATGATTACCAGTATTTGTGGAGTAACACAAGTGAATGGTACAATGAGACAACACTTCTGAATGGTGGCCGCCCTGTTGAATTCGATGGGTACATGAGGGTCGAAGTAGACACCGAGGTTCTTTATAGAGCCAAGACAAAGGTGGAGACATTCTACAATCTCACCAAAGATTGCAAGGATGGGATCAACACGTGCTAGGCTGGCTGCAGATCTTATGTCAATTCATTCATGTACCATTTTACAATTTTTTTCCCCATCTCAAGAGTGAAATGTTATGAAACATAAATTTGATAAAAGATGTTATGACATGGCTTTTACATCATTCATATTGATTGTAACATATTTTGCTTTCTTTCTTAACCCTTATTCACTACTACATGATTGACATTTAACAGTGTACTTAAGAGGCACGCTCCATTTATTATTTTTAATCTAATGATGTCTGTTCAACCATATGCGCTTTCTTAAGCCTAAACCCAGCGGTTAATCTCTGCTTCAGCTCTCGATCTTCAACTCTCTCTTGTTCTGCATGAATCCCACTGCCGGGCAGGCTCTGGTGTTAGGGCAGACACAGAGTGGAAGCAAACGCAGGCTACTCCCTGGAGGTATGTTTTATTTCCCAATTCTTTTAATATCTTCAAATTATTATTTGTTTTAGGCCTTTGATTTTGTCTTTTACTAAATAGATCATTGCACTGTTTCTTTTAAATTTTCATTTCTTTGTTTCATCCCCAAGATTGTAGATATAGTAAATGGCTCTTTGTAACTGAATTGTATAATAAATTAATGTTATTGTACAGGCTTATGAAACTATATACACCCGAGTGTCTCAAAATTTCAGTCTTGTGTCCAGTCGTGAATCGTGATTGGCACTCGTATACTATTTTGTGACTATCTCTGAAGTTTAGGATAGGGGGAGTAATATATTTTACATAATTATGAATCTGATTTATAACAAAATGTCACGGACCCTCACGGTATTTCACAATGTTCACAGTGCTCAAAATTTGTTAAATATTAACTGTGCACAGCTTAATGAACTTGAAACTCTAGCCTCTGCTATTCTGCTCCTTTCAAAACTGCTGTTTTTTCTATATAGTTTATACTCAAGCAGTAGATAAAACCCAAAGAAAAATGCAGAGGTGTTTACAAAGTTATTGTCTTTGAGTTTCTCTCTTAAAGTCCAACTTCAAACTACAAGCTATAAGATGTCATACTAAAGGAAATTTGATAGAACCCAAGAGTGACAGGATGCAATTGAAGGGTAGTCTTTTTGAAAATATAAAATCATAATCTAAATTCATAAAATAATTAAGCTGAAGGGAAATTTTTATCAGAATATGAGCAAGAATCTTAAACTCATTTAAATAATAAAGCCAAGGAGAATCTCCAATAATAAATATTGAATTACTTTTTGGATAACTTTACAAATAATGAGCCTCAATATTTATAGAAGCCAAATAACTACCAATCCCTAAAATTTAGGCCCACTACTACATTACCTGGTAACTATTCCTAGTTTTTACTCCCTCCGTCCTGTTTTAAATCGCTCGTTTTGACTTTTGGGCATATTTAAGGAAAATTAAAAATAGAATTGATTTTTCAAAATTGTCAATACTTTTTAGGAGGAGTGATGATGAATGAGAATATAATGTGGAGAAGACTGACTTATTTTAGAGGTAGTTTAGGTATTTTATTTTTAGAAGTTTACGAAAACAACTAACATGCAACTTATTTTGGAACGGAGAAAAAGGCAAACATGCAATTTAAAATGGGACGGAGGTAGTACTTTTTAGGCTCACTACCACATTACTTAGCAACTACTCCTAGAATTTATGTCCACTTACACATTATTAACTACTTAGTAACTAACATATACTCCGTATAAAGTACTACCTCCGTCCCACTGTCTTTGTCCACTTTTGACTTTTGGAACTGTTCATCTAAGCACTTTGACTCATCAAATTTTCTTAATGTGTAAGCCTAAATATAGTCATGTGTGATCTTGTTTGATTTGTCTTAACATATAGATTATTAATATATAATTTCTATAATTTTTTAATATACAAATTACAAGATAAAATGGATTAAAGAAGTGCATTGGATGGTGTGCCAAAAGATAAGTGGACAAAGACAGTGGGACAGAGGGAGTAATATATTTGACCCGTTAAACAACTGTCCCTAACTAGCTCTACTATTAATATTAATAACATAAAAATAATTGCTTATGTGGCACTCTATAAAATTGTCCTAAGTAATATGTACTCTGTATTACTTAAAGGGTTTAAGGAGATAATAGACTATTTGATTTTAGACACCCTAAGCAATTTCTTAATCAGCTTGTACTTTTTTTTACTTAACTTTCTCACGAATAAAGAAGTTCCGATATACTATCCATAAGCTGGACAAAGGAATTCTGTATAGATAATACACTGAAAAAAGTGAAGAAGAAATGAGAAAACAGTAAACTTATAGAGAGAATTCTGGTGCTTCTTTTTTTTACTTCCTCCGTACCACAATGGATGCTCCTTTCCGCAAAATGAAGAAAAATTTCATGTTTTTTTTCAATTCATTTTATTTAAAAATTGGTATAAAAATAAAAAAAGTATTACGTACATATTTAAAAAGTACGTCAAAAGTTCTACAAAAGAACATGTTGACATCAATTTTTTAATATCAAATAAGCAATGAAAAAACACAAATAAACAAAAGTTATCATCGTAAGTTCTGAATATTGGACAGGGGCATCCATTGTTGGGTGAATCTGCTGAATTATTTAATGACAAGACTATTTAATCTGCTGATTCATTTAAACAAAATGGAAAACTTTTCCATTTTCCACTTCAAATCTAACAAGATTCTTTCATTATCCAATCTTGTATTTTCCACTACTTTTCATCTATCTGCTTTTAAATCCACTTTGTTTTAAACAATCTTGTCTTTTTTTTTCCAGTTGAAAAGTTAATTATAGTTTCAATTGATCAGCCTGTTCACCGTCAACCATCTGCAATTTGTTTCCATCTGCTGAGTAAGTTGTTCTCCACTGTAATCTGTTCTCATTTGTGAAGCAGATTGTTCAATTTGCTTTAAATACATATTTACACTAAGAGAGGTTTTAGTTTCCACATTCAAAATGCGGTGATTCTGCTGCTTTTAAATTATATGATTCTGAAAAGTGAAAATCAAGTTATGATTTTAAGAGGAAAAAAAAACCACCTAATAATTTATGCTCTAATTGGTGGCCTCAGCTTTTGACCACGCCCTCTCACCATCTCACTCAGTGCCACCTCAGCTTTAATCTTTCCCATCACACCACCATCATACCGCAATGGTGTGGATCACGCCTAATTTTTTAAAACAATTAACTTAAAATAAAAAACATTAAATAAATAATTTAAAAATATTAAAATTAAAATTACATTGATGCAATTAAAAAAGAGGAAATAAAAAATTAATTATTTTAAAAAAATACAATTACTCATCATTTGGAAGTGGAGGAGCGTAGTTTCATAAATGCTCAACTAAATCCGCACGAATGTTGTGATGTGTATGGTGTTATGTAAGTTGAACCTGTTGAGATTTTGTTTTTCTTCATCAACCGGTTCAATGTTACCATTGTGATCGTTTGGATCGTATTTGCATATCGCATGTCCTTTGTCTTCGATAATCATGTTATGTAGGATGCAGCAAGCAAGTGTACATAATGTGACATAACTTTTTTGGTGTGAAAGGTCGTGTTGGGTTTTTCACAATGTGTCATCTCTGCTTTAGCACACCAAATAGACGTTCCATGTCTTTTCTTGCTGATTCTTGGTAATTGGCGAATTCTTTTCTCTTTGGATCCTCAAAGTATTGTATACTTTTGACTAAAGCTGCGCAATCTTGGTAGATACCGTCGCCAAGATAAAACCCATGCTTGTGCTCCGCCCCTTAAATAGAAAAAGAAGTGTTCGGCCCGATACCCTGTATCATTTCGTTGAATATATCAAACTGTCCATGAAGATTCAAATCATTGTTCGAACCGGCCACCCCAAAAAATGCATGCCAAATCCACATATCATGAGAGGCTACGACCTCAAACATCAGTGTGGGGTGCTTGTGATCATCACACGTATATTGACCATGCCATGCGTTAGGACAATTGCGTCATGCCCAATGCATACAATCAATACTACCTAATCCGATAACCCATTTGCATCACTTGTACATGCATTCCCGCACCGTTCGATCAGACATGCACAGATTCTCATCGAGTGAATTTGCAGTGTTGTCGTATGCCAATTGTCGCAGTAGTGTGATTCACTTTTGCAATGTTGAGAAGCTAACTTTTTGTCGGGCATCATGTTGCAACGTAAAAAAGGTGTTGCACCCGCCAAATCACTCGCAATGCGGAAGAAAAGATGACGACTAATGCAAAATCTCTGCCTGAATTGTTTGTCGGTGTAGGTCACATATTAAGGAAAATAATCCTCAACTAATTGTTCGTGCCCACCTACGTATTAGTTTCATAATATTTAATATAAATCTGTAAAGTAGTATTTTTATTAAATATGAAAAATTTAGAAGGATATCAGTTCTATCTCTGTTTAGAGTTCTTCTTTTACGTGGTTTGTCATTTTCTTGTTGCCCAGACCATGGTATTCATGAAAAGAGCTTCCGCTTCATCAGAATAGGAGGACATCCACAGTGTGACAAAAAAATAAACTAACTGTTGAGCGACTAGAAATGGGGAGAGGGAAAGCTGTGATGACCGTGATGGCCATTACCCCCATCACGATCACCATGTTGGGGGGGTGTTCCACGTCGTGATGGCAGGTGATGTGGCACCACCTGGCCATCACGGCACCACCACGGTGCCCATATCTTGTGGTCTAAAGGGTAGATGTAAATTGACAAAAGTGAAAAACAAAAATTACTTATTTTACAAACAAAATTTTTACTCTCTCCTTCCTAAAGTATTTTTTTCACTTTCATATTTAGATTGTTTCAAAATAAACTTCTCATTCCATAAAAGCAATGAAATACGGAGTATGTGGCACATATTGATTCTCTCATCTCCTGCAATCTAACCAAAACTTTTACTTTTTTCAAACAATATGAAAAAGGGAAATAAAACATTCATTTGGGACGAAGAGAGTATTTAAAATATCTTTACAAGTAATTTTATCTCGAACCATCTATGTGCAAACAAGTAAATGTACCAAACATTTTTGACAATTAGCAAATACATCTCGGTGATTAAAATGGCTGACATAAACTATAAAACAGTTAACACAAACTGTCAACCCCCAACAACGAACAATCATTGTTTTAAAACATGTCCATATATTAGGTTGATTTTAATTTTAGACCTCCTTTCAATATATGAAACTCGGGAGTAACATTTAATATTGTTTATATTTAATTTATGGGTGAATTTCGTGTTATTTGCTAGTCTTTTCTTTCCAATAAGAGTTATGTTTTTTTTTTGCAAAGAAAAGAATTACATCATTCGAACAACGTACAAAATTTCATAAATTTTAAGTATTTTATTTATAAATTGATATAAAAATTTAAAATATAATTTACATACTAAAAAACTACATTAAAACTCCTACATAAATGAAAATATTAATGAAACAAAAGTTATAAGATGCTGACCAAGGACTAGGGGTGAACATGGTACGGTATGATATTTGGTTTGTGCCGATACCGTATCAAATATTTTGGTTCGACATAGGATTTTACATCGTACCGATCTTGATTTTGAAATATCGGTTCGATATGGTTCGGTTTCGGTAAATATTGGAATAAATATATTTACGCACCTAGTTTACACTTTGAAATGTATAAAACTTTTTATTTAAAAAATCGAAAGTGCATTCAAATAAAGAAAGATAAAAAAATTGAAAAATGAATAAGTAAATCCAAAAAATGCTTATAAACTTAGTTTAATTTATATTTCGTACTCCGGGGTATTTTACAAACAAAAGAGAGTGAATGATAACAAAATAGTATTTCAAATGTTTGTTAATTTTTTTATATTAATCCACAAACAATTAAAATTCAAATAAATAATTATTAAATAAAAGATTATTTGTAATTCATCTACCCTTAAACCAACTTTTGAAAATCAATTTATTACTCCGTATTTATGAAGAAGTATAAAAACATTACTCCCTCCGTCCTATATTGATCTTCCACTTTGACTGGAGCTCATTTTTAAGTGTGTGCAAAAAATGCTTTGACATTCCAAAAATGGAAAATGTTAGGGTACCAATGGGTGCTACCATGGGTGCACCCATGCTTCACACAGACAAACACAGACGATAATTGTCTGTGCGACACAGACAATTATCGTCTGTGTGAAGCATGGGTGCACTCATGGTAGCACCCATGTGGTGGCACCCTAGCATGGTCCTCCAAAAATACCCCTAATCCTAATCTCCCCCAACGCAACACTCACTATCTCTCTTTGCCTCAACTGGACTCGTTGCCAAGCAAATCTAGGAACAAATTTTCACAAAAAAAATACAGATCTACTGCACTATCTCGATTTTGATCTCCTAACCCATATGCACCGCCGAACCCATCTGCACCATCTTGATTTGGATCGTCGAAGCCATCTGCACCATCTCGATCATGTAGATCCACTGGACGCATCTTCTCTCAATTTATATCTGCATAGATTTCGTCAGATCTACCTCTAATTATTGCATCAATGGAATGACAACATTTGGAGTATCGATGATAAGATATAAACGAAAGGGAGAAAGAAGAAAGACAAGAAAGGAAAAATCCGAAAATGAGAAGATAGAGAGAGAAGGGAGAACGAGAAAGGGAAGAAAGGGAAGAAAGGGAGGAAAGAAGAAAGACAAGGGAAAGAGAGAAGAACAGAGAAAGAGAAGAAATGGAGAAAAAGATCGAATGAAGTGGGAAGAAAAGGAGATACGGTGGAACTTGAGGGTATTAAAGTCATTTAGCTACTTTTTTTTAGAAGTGAGAAGATGATTTTAGGACGAAGAAAAAAGAGAAGTGGGAAGATGATTTTAGGACGGAGGAAGTATTATTTTAGTGGCATATTTGTATATATGTTCGGTATGAGATGTTAGCTCGTATCGATTCTAAATACAGGACGGCCCATTCAATTCGATAACGTACTTTTTCGGTTCGATATTTTTCAATTCGGTAATCCTTTTTCATAAAATTTCTACATCCATTTGGTACTGGCTCAAGCCTAACTCTACCAAGCACAAGGAGTACATCAACATACAGTAAAATGACTACCTTGCACTTGCGATGAACTGCGGCGACACTATCTCCCTTGTCCTCTGTTTCCGGTAACGACGGCGGGCAGAAGCTGGTCTCCTACTTCCAACGAGTTCGCGACCTAGAGGTGAGTGGGACTCCCCAATGAAATCCTTCGAAATTTTGTGTTTATTGCTGTGAATGTTGGAAAATTGGTAGGCGATGTAGGGGGTCGTGGCTGTGAACGAGCTAGGAGTTATCGTCGCTGGGGAGGCGGACGGCAGTGGCGAGATGCACAGGGTTTCCGCCGGGACTCGGCAACGGGGTCTGGGGTTGGGCCTGGGCAGCGTGGGGTTTGGGTCTGGGTGACTGACTGAGTACTTCGTTGGGGCTATCTAGCGTGGTTCTTGGTGCATATAATGACTATAATAAGAAGAAATCTTTATTACTTATTTTGGTTATTAGTAGAGTTATGTGTTACTCCTTATTATTGACTTGAAACCTGTAATTCGAATTGCTTGATGACTTTCTAAGGAATGTATAATCTAGGCTGGTTTGTGAAAACTTGACGTCTTTGATGATTCTTGAGGAATTGATTTCTTTGGCTTAATACCCATATTTATTTTCTAGTCAATTTCTTGAAGTGGTGGGTCTTAAAGTTCTCATGTAAAATTAATCAAATTTTGGTCGGTATACCAAATGTTCTCAAATAGCATTTTTTTCTGGGATTTTGCTTTGGAATTGTCTCCAACGGTTCAATCATATTTTTAAAATTTTATGGACACCAAATGTTTCAACGTTGAGAACAATGAATCATTTGGGATTGGAAAGCTTTTCCCTTTGCCCCTTTGGGAAGATGATCTATTATGACCAATGGGTCATGGGTAGACTTTAGCACGGCGGTGATGTTTTTACTTCTTTAGGATGTGTGCTCGCCCAACATGCATGATTGGTGAACAGAGACGGGGCAACCCGAGTTACATCAATGGACAACCGTGGGTTTTGTTCCTAGCTACTTAGGAAGAGAAGATGTTATATGAATCTCCTGAGTACTAGAACCCTGTTCCACCATGGAGTTCTAGTGAGGCTGGGACCCTGTTTAAAACGTTTTTCTAGTGAGGCTTAGAGTTTTACTAAAGCAATTTTTTGTAACGTCAAGAGCCTATTTTAAACTAATCTTTTTGTCAGGTTGATATCCTGTTTTAAACAATTTATCAATGAGCCGATAGCCTGTTTTACATTAGATTTAATTGAGGCTGAGAGCCTGTTTCAGATTATATTTGCTGGGGCCTATGGCCTGTTTATACTGTTATTCTTTGAACAATTGAACTATGGTTCTAAATTAGATGACGGGTAGTGCTTGGGTTTCAATTTTGGTTAAAACAACTTTGTGTTGGATTGATAGTCTGCTCGATCTTGATTGTGAAAGGTTACTAGTGTTGTTAGTGCTGTTCAGTAACTTGCAGCATTGGTGGTTGGTAAGCTTATGTTTGTTTTCCTCTCACCCGTACATCTTGACTATTGTTTTCCTCATCATCCTTAGGTACTTGAGTGGTATTGTGCTTGCCTGGGGTTAGGTCTGGTGGAAACAATCAGTGAATAAGTGGATCCCTCATCCCTATAGGTAATTTTTTCTGTATTTCTGTAGAGCTCATGTTAATTGTCATTTAATGTCATCATTTATCCTCATTGGGCATGTGTGCCTTTATAAAATTATTGTTTTTATAAAAACATTCTCCTGAGGTGATTTTGAGTATTGTTCATTTGGGGTTGTGCTAAAGAATTGTAAAGATGCTCAGTCGCATATGCAGATGTCGCTTCAGCCCAGCTTCTCCAGCGCCATGGCTCTTTGTTGGGCTGGGCAATCCAGGTGATAAATACAAGGGGACAAGACACAATGTATGTAGCGCAAAAGTATTATCATTTTGTCCAAATTGACTGTTTATGTCCTTTGGGCTATATATAAATTCAACTTTATTTCCCTGCAGGTTGGGTTTGAAATGGTAGATGCATTTGCAGAATCGCTTGGCATCCCAATGGGTGATTTACATTGTAAAGCTATATTTGGGAGAGGTTTCTTTCTGCCAAGTTTTGGTTTAGCCACTTTGTTTCCACTTTCTCCATGCAAAAAAAGGTCAATTCATGTTTATGTGTGTGCCCTTGCCGGGATTGATTTCAGCAAATTGCTATTTTCAGGTTTAGTCAAAGGAGTTCCAGTTTTCCTAGCCAAGCCTCAAACGTACATGAATTTGAGTGGTGAATCTGTAAGCAATTGAAATTCATTTTATAGGCTTAAAGTTCTAAACTTGCACTAATTTATCATTTTGGGAGTTTTATCGAAAATCTTTCCATCTCCCATGGAGCCAAAGATTCACTACTTTTTGGCTTTGGGGTATGATGAATAAAGCAAAATGGCTCTTCAAACTGTCTGCGCTTCTTTTATAGTGAACTCGCAGTCAGTCAATCCAAGTCTCAACGCTCATCATGGCTCATCCAGAAACAATCGCTCTATGTTTTAAACATAGAGGTCAGGTTGCGACATCCGACCCCTCCTTACCCCACAATGGGCAGGAGACTTTGAGGCACTGGGGCAATGTTGTTATTGTTGGTCGTTTTATTGAAAATACGTAGCCTAATGATGGTAATGAGAAATGAGTTTCATTTGTTTCTGCTAGAGTGGACCACTTGGTGCATATTATAAGCTCCCGCTCAACCGCGTGATTGTGGTATAATCTTTTCGACTATTCCAAATTCCAATCATTTAGTTCTTATTTGTAAAGGACTTCAAGCTGTGTCGCACCCTTAGACAGTTGACATTTTTTTATGCAGTTTCACGATGACATGAATTTGCCGTGTGGAGTACTTCGCCTTGACCCTAAAGGCGGTCATCATAGTCACAATGGGTATGTCTATCATATCTGAATTTAATGGGAGACTAACGACCACAACGAGTGTGTAGTTGCATACTTAGTGTTGCTATATAGACCCCCATACTTGCCCTCCTAGGTCATACCGTCATACGCCTTCATTAACCATTTATCCTCATCTATGCCCTCCCAGGTCCTGTTTAATTCCCAACCCTTTTTGCCTGGGCACTACGCGCTAGTCTGCTGTCTAGAGGCTGCCTCTTACTTTTTAGAACAGTGATACTTAGGTAGTCAGGTCAGTATAGTTAATGTCAAGCCTTGGAAGACAGTCTGAGTGTCCTATGAGCCTTTTAACATTGCTAATCTAATAAGCAATACACTTCTGCTTATTTGGCAAGCAATGCACATCAAATTTTCGCTTTTTCAAGCTGGTGTTTGGAGAGTCACTAAGCATCAAATCGCAACTGGAGAAGTAATAAGCAATAAAAACTTCTGCATCGCAATGCTAAACAGGGCCAGGCTATCTCTCTAAAATCTGCTACTTGAAAGTCTCCTATGAAATTTAGAACTTAAACACCAGATATACTTAGATGTGCAAAACTACAAGCTTAGATGGTATATCTATAATCTATTGTTCGAGAAACATCTTTTAAACCTAATGTTTTGAGGTGTGTCATGTCCCTTACCCAGTGTGAGTGTGGTTGCGTCAAGGATAACAATTATCAAAACAAGGAGGAAAAAGAAACACCCTTTAGTTTTAGTTTTATTGTGTTTCATATTACCCCAAATAGGTGGTATGAAGTCACTATATAGGTGATTTGATGAATCATACCGGGTGTTTGTTTTTGTTAAGCTTTGTCAGCCAAGTTTGAGCAGTGTCAACTCCTTATTTGTGGCAACTGTTTGAATTTATAGGAAGTAAATCATTGTTTAAAGTGCTTGTGCCTGGGTAATTGTCTTCCGAAGTTGAAAACCCCCTCATATCTTTATATATTTTGTTTAAAAAGGCTGACCGTTAAATTATTAGCAATGGGTTAATGGATGTGATTTAAATGTTTTAGGCTAAAGAGTGTGATTTATCATTTTCGTGGAAACAGAGAGTTCCCTCGACTGAGAATAGGTTGGTGGAAATTCAGAGCCTCCTTGTTAATTGTCTCTGTTTATAGCTTTTCTCCTGTGTGTCTAGTGATTCTTATTTCTCTTCCTAGGCATTGGAAGACCTGCTGGTCAAATGGACCCCAAGGTATTCTTGCTTCAAAAGTTCAATGCAACTGCTAGGGAACGGGTAAACTCACTTTTTTGTAGGTTTGGCTTTGTAATTAATTATGTATCTAATATTCATCAATTTGTGCTCGATATGTGTGATTAGTGAAATGAAAAATGTTCGCTTTTGAGCCTTTTTTTCAAGGTACCGCTGCTTACAGTAGTGGAGCCAGAGGCTAGCTTTGGGAGGGCACAATAGTGAGAACTATGAGAGTTGGGGGAAGCTTACTTAGAATTTGTTTTTCAAAAATAAAAATAATACTCCCTCCATCCCAATTTCGATTATAAATTGGGAATTACGAGGTAAAATCTCACGACTTTTGAAATCATTTTATTTACAAATTGGTATATCAATAAAAAAATTTCATATTACAATAGTACGTCAAAAGTTCTACAAAACAAGAGATGACAAGTATTTTATTTTATCAAATAATCAATGAAAACACACAAATAAACAAAAGTTATCGAGAGGAGAGGAAAAATAAAATTGTAATAAAAATTGGACGGAGGGAGTATGATATAAAGAAATTATACTAATTAAATTTATCTCAAATATACTACTATCCCATCACATAAAAAAGTTAAACATTTTCTTTTTTGTTCGTTTTCCAATTACTTTTTTTGGAATTTTTTGTTTAGTAGTGAATATAGTTTCTCTCTTCCATGCACCAATTTCAGCCATCTAAGTTCACTTTCTTTTTTAATTTCTATGCTAAGTCAAACGTGAAACTTTTTTACGGGAAGGAGTGAGTATTATATGTACAAATTTTAATTTTCTAAAATTCTTTATTTAACTAATACCTTAATTTGAATTAACACAAAAAATGAAATTGGTATTAAAAAATATCACATAATGCCTGAATTACTCGTGAATTAAAGTCACTAAAATTCAACTCACCCTATATCAAACACCACCAATAACTGAAGATGAATTCAACATTTTAAAACAGCAAAAATACTTAGATGATGAGTTCAACAAAAAAAACTAGATGATAATTACTTATTGGGAATAAGTAAAGCTGGATTTTAAAGTGAGATTTTTTTAATACCTCCAGGTAAGGCGACATTTGAGTTATCCTTATTTAAAAAGATTAATTTAGACAAAACGGTTCATTTTGTTAAAGAAAAAGGAACATAACTAAATGAAAAAAAGATTCAGTCTGTAGATGTCGAGCCCCTCCGCAGGTGAAGCCACTGTCGCTGGAGGGGCACTTCACTGGTCATAAACAACTTTGCCATTCCATGGGGTAATCACCAGAATCTCTCCGGGAGGGCACGTGCCCAGGCAGCCCCCCTGCCTCCGCCCCTGGCTGCTTATACATTTAAATGCATGGTTTAAGTTGAGCATATCTTTGAGGGTTCCAATGAGTCAAGCTTAGTTATCAAATAGCGGACTAAGTGAGTTGCCAATTGTTGCAGACAAATTGTTTTAAGAAAACCCTCACATTTGCTTATAAAACAGTACAACAATAACAACAACCAACCGAGTAAAATCCCACAAAAGCAGGGTCGGGAGAGGGTGTGTATACGTAGACCTTACCCTTATTTGGCAATAATGAGGTTATTTCCAAGAGATCCCCGACTTAAGCACTAAAGTACAGATAAAAGGAAACAACAATATCTCTCTCTCTCTCTCTCTCATGGAGAGGAAAAGGGAAAGGGGGGCGAGCGAGTGGGTGAGGGAGAGCAAGATGTATAGAGCACAAATTGCAGATCAAAGGGGAGAGGATTTTGTTTCATATCCATTGGAGTACTTATTTATCTACTCTTTGACAGATCGACGTTGCACTAAATGAAGGGGTTGATGCTTTGAAACAACTTGTGTCTGAAGGCTTAATGGAAACAGCAAGGTGGTTTAACAGCCAGCAAAAATACAAACACATCAGATCGCGCGCTGTTCCAGAGTGATCATCTCATATGACTATTCAAGGTTGGTTTTTTCTTCTTCTTTTGTTTTTGTTGGGTTTTGTTCTTTTACACATCCATGGGTGTTTATAGAACTATATTGCTGGTGCAGTGTTGCCCTCTTCCATATGGAGCATTTTGGCTAACTTGATTGAAGTATTATGACTTCTCATCAACCGGTTTGCATCCTAGTGAATATGTGGCACACAGCATCTCTATTTCTTCTAAACAAATTTTAACCATAAATTGGCTAATTTTCAACAGTTATTAAACTCTATGAAGTGAAAGTGTTTTTTGTATTTTGGGATGGACGGAGTAGTAAAATGTTCATTGAATTCTTTTAAGGGTACGTTTGGAAAGGAGGAAATTGACTTCTGGAAATCATTTTTCAGTGTTTGGCAAAGATGGAAAATGAAGTCAAAGGAAAATTAAATCCAAGTCAAATGGAAAATGAAGTCTCGAATCCTGATTTTGTCTTCTGGAAATTTTTTCCGGAAGTCATTTTCCATCTCATTCTCGCTTGGTCGCTCGTCTTCTTTCTACGCCATCCTCTCCCCTCATTGCCGCTTGTCCTCCTTCATCTTCATCTTTGCCACCCCCATCCCCTTCTTCTCCATTGCAACCGCCGCCCATACCATCTTCCTCCGCTGTTTTTCTTATCTCTGTCTTCCACGCCTCTTCTTCTCATCCTCTCTTCCTCATCTATTCTTCTCCATCTTTCTTCCTTACATCTTCTTCTACATCGTACTCCCCTAGCCCTCCAGGTTCCTGCTTGATTTTGTCCATTATTGCTTGATTTTTGCTTGAATCCTTCTTCAAGCAAAACAGATTTGGGGTTATGTCTTCTTCAAGCAAAACAGGTTTGGGATTATGTCTTCTTCAACCCCCTTTGATTGCTTAACTTTATCATTTGTGGAGTATTGTTTATAAAGTACTTCAATTTTTTGCATAATTTATCTTCATTTGTGAGGAATTGATTTTTGCTATGTAAGCTATATCTTTTTTTTAATAAAGTATTGTCTATAGAGTATATACCATAATTAATTGCTAAGCTTCAATTTGTGGGAATGGATTTTTCAATGGGACTGTTAATTGGCAGCTGTTAGGAGTCAAGCTTGAGTCTGCACTTTAACATGTTTGGTTCAAACTATCTCTTGTTATAGGTCTGATGTTCAAGCAAATTGGCAACTCATTGAAGTGACAAGAGTATGCACTAAACAACTGGTTGGTTCAGGCTTGCTATTAGTAATGCTGATTTTTAAAGGATGATATGCTGAATTGGTATTCATAATAGGCTACTAGTTGTGTTCGGTTTTGGCGGTTCGTTTTTCACCCGGAACGAAAGACAAAACGGAAGGTAAGTTGGCGGTTCGGTTAGGATTAGTTATTGGTGTTTATATTCTTAGCCGTTCAAATGAATAACTCATTTGAATTGATCACTCCAAATGCATACTAATTATGATGTGTAATATAGTGCTGGGCTGGACCACAAGAAAGATATGTCTAGGTCAAGATGTAGGCGAAGGTGAAGTCTACGAACACAACTTAAATTATAAATTAAATAATTTACGTTATTGCAAGTTCATTCTTATAAAAAAATTATTAAGTGACCTTTTGAATTCATTATTCATTTCATCAACATCTAGTGCAAGTTCATCATCTCCTGCGGTGTTGTCAATAATCCACTCATCGTTAGAAGACAAAGCTTCACAAACCAGAGTATCCTCTTTCTTTTGCAATCGACTTCTTCGAAGCTTTGTTCTTTTTGTAGAACATTATGAAAATCAAAATGTTCGACTTTACCGCTGATAAGCGGTACCTCCTCTCGGTGTGAACTTGATTGAACGTGCTCCAATTACATTCACATGGTGAAGAACAAGTTAAACAGAGAACCTTCACCGCAAATGCCTTACTCTGTTTTCAATATCCATGTACGAAGTCCATGCATAGATGGTGGCTTAAAACTAGCTAGCTCCGTAATGGCTAATGGAACACATTATGCTATAGTAATATGGGCTATTTGCAACATTAAATGATATGGCATTCTCAAAGATAAATCTTCCCACATCACGACATATTAAATTGCTTTGTTACACAGAAGCCTTGGTCATTTTTAAGGCTAGACATCATCTTCTTTGTTTGAACCATCTTCAGATGTCAGGACGACCAAGAAAATGATTCATTGAGTGCTCGGTCCAAAACAACATCATTTGGAGTGCCAAAATACACTCCTGGATCAACCGTCTCATCAAAATACTCGTGCTTAATGTGTTTTGTTTTGCATAACTTTTCAGGAGCGCTAACATCTTTATTTTTCACTACATCAAAAACTTTCAGGTATGACACATAGTTTTTACGAGTTCATGTTAGAATTTAACCCACTTATACCGCCGGTGATAACTTTGTTGCAACGATGATATTTGACGTACACATAACCACTTTTTTCATTAGGAGGATTAATTGTTGTTACATGCAACTCTTGATGAAATAAAGAAAAATGACTCTTTAACTGTCTACGTTTCTTTTAATAGTGAAGTAGCAGTTGGTCAATGCAACTTTCAATGCTCGTCATGAGTCATCTGAAAACAGTCTCGCTATGTTATAAACATAGGGGCCAGGTTGCGCACATGGTTACATGTGGTGCTTGAGCGGGTTCGGAGGTCTCTTTGAACAAACCTCTCCACTTTTGAGTAGGGGTAAGTTCTGCATACACAGACCCTTCTTAGACCATACTTTTGTGAGATTTAACGGGATTGTTGTTGTAACTCTTGTTACATGTTCCCAAGCAGGATCTCTAGACAAATTTTAGAACTAGAACCATGCGCTTACTTGGTGTGTGATTTAACCATGATACTGAAACCAAAAGCATTAATATACAACATGAAGTATAATTGGTTCACACCCGTATTGAATCCGAAAAACCGGTCCAAATGGGTCGAAACCGGAATTGATCATGTACGGTTACTCGTCCTCTCCTTAACCGGATTTTGGTTTGCTATTTTTACCAGTTCCATCCATTCCGGTCTGGTTCTGGACCGGTGTACATCCCACCTTGCTCATTGTAGTGTTTTATTAGCTTTGGCCTCACTCCTATTTGTGTGTGTAATTTACTCCATCTTTTGGTTGCAGCTCAGGTGTGATATGAGAACATAAAACATGCATGCGGTTTGCAAATAAGGGTTTTTAATTCGTGGGGTAGCATCGGGCATTAGGGCGATGATCCCTTAGCATTTAAATTAGTAACCTTGCATTTAAATATGTAACGTGGTGTGATCTCAAAATAAAAAGAACCTAACGTGGCATGTGTTTCGGTTTAGATTGCCTCTTGCATATACATCGTTTGCATATTTATAATTAGATTAAATTCTATAAAAAGTCCCCACTCATAAGTCGTTTTACATATTTAATCTCTACATATCAAATATCAATAATATAGTTCCCAATTATTATATTGTTTTCCACAAATAGTTCTCTATTAACATTTTCGTTAAGAACATGGATAAAATTGTATATTTACACTCCTCTCTCTCTTTAATTAAGCTTCCTCACTTCTCTCGTACTCAATCTCAAACTCGTCGCTGAGTTTGATGCTTTAAATCCAAAACCGAAACAATCACTCATCTCTCAATTGTTAATCTTGCTGGTGGAACTCAAAATTGAAACCAATAACCTTCATGGATGAATTTATGGGTTAGGCTCAAGAAATTGCAAAGAAAATAAATCTTAAAACTCATCTATGTAGGTTGCTGGTTTCGATTTTGGATTCTAGCAAGAAGACGAACAATTGAAAGAGGGGGGTGATTTCGGTTTTGGGTTCAAAAGCTTCAAACTCGGCGACAAGTTTGAGAAAGGAGCGCGAGAGGAGAGGTGAAGCTTAATTGAGGAGAGAGAGGAGCGTATTTACAAATTTTTTCATATTATTTTACGAAAATGTTAACAAAGGACCATTCGTGGAAATTAATATCATAATTGGGGACTAAATTATTGATAGTACTCCGTATTTGATATGTAGGGACTAAATACGTAAAACGAACTATAAATGGGAACCTTTTATGAAATTTACTCTTATAGTTATTAGGGTTAAGTTTTAAATACTTGTAAAATAGGTAATTTTTGTTTTTGGTATCTATAATTATTTTCGTTTAAGTCATCTTAGCTTATAAATTTTTTTAATTTAAAAATGTTCCTTAAGCGTAATTAAGAGTTTTAATTAGTTGAGAAAAACACATTTATTTTGTACTCAACATTCTAGTCTTGCATTCTTATTATGGCTAAACTCCACTATTAATCCTTCAACTTTATAACTTGTGCACGATTAGTCCTTCAAGTTTCAAAAGTCCATGAATAGTCCTTCAACTTTATGAGTTGTGCACGATTAGTCCTTCAAGTTTAAAAAGTCCATAAGTAGTCCTTCAAGTACATGTCAACCCTTCAGATGAGATCCTTTTGACAGTAAACATTAAAATTTAAATAGAATACTATTTCCATATAATACAATTAAATTCGACTGGGTACGACTACTCTGTATTGCTTGTATGGAGCTAGTACTCCATTTAGTTTTTAACGTTTACCGTAAAAAAGATTTCATCTGGAGGGCTGACGTGTACTTGAAGGACTACTTATGGATTTTTTAAACTTGAAGGACCAATCGTGCACAACTCATAAAGTTGAAGGACTATTTATGGACTTTTGAAACTTGAAGGACCAATCGTGCACAACTCATAAAGTTGAAGGACCAATGGTGGAGTTTAGCCTTCTTATTATCTCATACATAATTTTCATGTCACAAATTGTGTCTTTCATCAAATTTTATCCTTAATTTCCAAATTTTATTGTATTATATTTCCAAGAAATTTGAAAAAAGGTTATGTAATATGAATAATGATTTAATTTAGTGAATGAGAATTGTGTCCCAGATCATTAGAAATGTTAGACTAGAATGTTGGGTATAAAATGAATGTCTTATCTCTACTAGTTAAAAGTGTGAATTATGTCTAAAGATCATTTTCAAAATGAAAAGTTTTGTAATAATGACTTAAACAAAAAAATTACAAGGACCAACAGTAAAAATCACCTATTTTACAGCAGCTAAAAACATATTTAAGCCAAAATATAATTCCCTCCATCTCAAAATAAATTTTATAATTTACACTTTTGAATGTTCCAAAATAAATTTTACAGTGTATTTTTTTTCCTTTTCTTTCAAAAAATGTGTAGATATCTCTTTTTTTTTCTTCTAAATAGATTTCAATTTTCAACCAAACGCCTTTTATATTTTGTCAAACGCATTTTAGTTTTTAACGTTTTTCCTAAAACTTAATGAATTTAAGTGTAAGTTGTATTTTAGATGGAGGGAATAATTAATAATTAATACGAAATACTAAATGTTTAGGTACCCGCAAGAGGAGATACAGCTGCTATATGCAAACACATGTGTGCTGGTCTTTGGTGTAGGAGAAATATGTTGGAACAATAATTCATCAACACGTTAACAATTTGGTGCCCAATCAAATTATCATTTATATTATGATGCCCCATGTATATTTATATAGTGCATATATATGATGGTACATACTACCTCCATTTCTAATTGTATATTTTTATTTTTTCGATTAAAATTAGTAAATTTTAGCCATAAGTTAAATAAAAGTAATATTAGATGTTACAAAAATAATTTTTTTTAGATCTTTTTATAAAATATTTTGGAAAAATTCACATGAGTACTCCAAGAAATTTTGTGATTTTATGAGAATACTCTGAAATTAAATAATTTACACCACTGCTCATAGAAATTATTCAATTTTATACCAATATTCGAGGCTGCCAACTAAGCTAAGACAAATTTGTATCCGATTTTTGTTGGGGTGGAATTTGAGATTTTATTTTTTAAAATTATTCACTTTCCAGGAAAATTAACCAAACATAAATAGATAGTTTTGAGACTTCTCACCAAACACTAGAAAAAAAATATTTCTGGAAAATACATCATTTTCCATTACTTATTTTCCAAAATTCATTTTTCAGGTTCCCAAATGGACCCTTAAAGTAAAATAAATACGTGGCATTTTAAACGGTGACGGGATAATTATTAACTATATCTAAAGTTCTACAAAACAAAAAGTCACATGAGTTCATTGTTCTAACAAACGACTCACGAAAATAATAAAAGAAAGTAAATAAAATTTGACCATGTGAATCGTAAATAGACAACTTAATCTGGGACGGAAGAGAACTTTTTATATATTTACTTCACGAAAGAAAAACGTAATGTACCGTAAAAATTGACGAGATACCGCAAAATTTGTCTAAGACCACATGTACTGAGCGGGAAGGAGGAAGGCGCTGCCCTTGCCGATGCCATGGGTAGAAGAAAAAAAACTCTGTTATGCACATAGCACCTTCCCATCCGCTCCTGTTTCACTCCCTCCAATCTTGGACAAGAAATCACTCTAAATAGAAGTAAAATATACGAAGTAGCATTATTTATCTTCAAAATATGAGTTTCATGTTTTTATCCCCAAAATAAGAATTTACATTGTGATATTATGGCGCTGTATAGTGATATTGTCAAGAAATCAACTCAACCAAAAGCTCAAACTTGTGGTTGTGGCCTGGAAAATGTTTCTTACATTCTAACACGCCGCCCTCTCCACGTCCAGGCGTAGTCTTTTTCGAGCCTTGCACGTGAAACCTTAATTTTTGTTATGACTTGGTACCCGTGACCTCTTAGTCAACAAAGCTCTGATACTATGTTAAGGAACCAACTCAACCAAAAGCTCAAAATCTTGTAGTTCAGGAAATGTTTCTTATATTCTAACAAAGATCTCATTGTATTTTTGGTACTATATATTGATATTATTGTCCTTATACTCCTATTTTTGAAATAAAATCATGAAGCTTCTATTTTGGAATATTCGCCATGGTTTATTCTTAATTTTTTCTTTTCCCATTGTTGCACCTCATCTCTCTCACATTTAATTTTAAAAAAAGTAAAAAAAAACTCTGTAGGGTATTAAAAAGAGGAATTTGCGTAAATAGCACTAAAGCATAATGACTTTCCCTAAATAGCACTACATGTGTTTTTTTCTCAATGTAGCACTTTTAGTCATTATCCATTAGTCATTATTCAAGTAAATATTTGTCATCACTGGTTATTATGGACATTATTAAGTACTATTTAGGGAATAAAACAATTTAAATACTATTTAGAGAAATGACTTAAGTTTTAGTGCTATTTAGTGCAAATATTTCTTACGTCACCAGGTTTTATGCACTAGACTATTTTGTTTATCATGGAGCCCTTTGATGAGGTGGTCCCACATGGAGTATAATGTCTCTCTCGGAGGTCATCTAAGTGAATATACTTTAACTATCTTCTACGCTCTATCCATGTTGATATTTCTCGAGCCTTACTTGTTTCAATTGTTGTCGTTTCACCTTTGATCAAATTTCTATAGTTTTTCTTTCCAAAAATCAAAACAGGAAATGGTATATAGGACCGAGAGAGTATATAAATAAAAACGATAATAGTCAAAATATTATATTAGAGACTAAAAAAATAAACTAAACAAAAAGAAAATTATGAGGAGGAGAAAATATTCTTTTCTCATTTGAGTTCAAAGGGCGGCAGATACGGTTAATATAGAAGCAAAGGCCGGGTTGAGTGAACCGATTGGAGCCACATCCTACGAATTAAAAGGGGTTAGGTTAGGTCCATGCATGCATGCACCGTGGGGGGGAGCACGTGTTTTGTTTCCCTCGTGGCTCTGCGCGTAACCGTACAACTAACCATGGTTAGTTAGTTCAATCTTCTTCTCGGTCGGTGACACGTCGCCACCCACGCCTTTACTCCCCGATTCCTTCTTCGGTTCTTGCGTCGCATCTCCCACTTTTTGTATCTCTCCCTCCACAAATTACGTAACTCTACGACATTTTATTTTTTAAAAAAGAGAGTTTGTTTATTATTTCCTCCGTCTTTGTCTTTAATAAGATTATAATTTTTCTATTTACGAGGAAAAATCCTGCACTCTTTTAAATTTATTTTATTTAAAAATTGGTGCAAGACTAATTAATAAAATTTATGTACTGAAAAACTAAGTCTAAAGTTCTGCAAAATAAGAGATGATAAAGATTTTTTATTCTATCAAATACTCTATGAAAATACACAAGAAAACAAAAATTATCGAGAGGTC